GGAGCTGGTCCTTCCCTCAGCCCTCACCAAGGAGCTGCACCTGCCCTGGCAGCCCTCACCACAGAGCTGGTCCTTCCCTCGACCCTCACCACAGAGCTGGTCCTTCCCTGCGCCCTCAGCACGGAGCTGGTCCTTCCCTGCGCCCTCAGCACGGAGCTGGTCCTTCCCTCAGCCCTCAGCACGGAGCTGGTCCTTCCCTCAGCCCTCAGCACGGAGCTGGTCCTTCCCTCAGCCCTCACCATGGAGCTGGTCCTTCCCTGAGCCCTCAGCACGGAGCTGGTCCTTCCCTCAGCCCTCACCACAGAGCTGGTCCTGCCCTCAGCCCTCCCCAGGCCCAGGAGGAGGCCGTGTCCCGGTGGGACCAGCCAAGTGGGTCAGAGGTGTGCAGCCCCTTCTTGGCTCCCAGCTGTTTTCCCTGTAACTGCTGCAATAGCCCTGGTTAACACCAGAATTCCGAGTACCTGCCTGCCTTGACTAGGTGAGAGAAACTGAGGGTTGAGAAGTTCAAATGCTGGGTAGGAGGGCAGTGCCAAACTACACCTCAGCTTAATGCCATTGCCCCAAACCCTGTCTCCTGCCTCACGTGATGAGCTGTTTTCAGCTATGGCTTTGTGTATAACATGCTATTTTTAAACCTTTTCTCCACAGTTTATTTATGACGAAAGAGTTTCCTGGTAAGTGAATCCCTTTCCATTTTTTCTGGTTATACACAAAAGCTGCCACAATTAGGGTTCCTCAGGGGAGGAGGGGGAAGCTGGAAAGTTCTGCAGGGCAGCAGTTTCCTGCTGTGTGAGAAACATCAGCACAAGATGGGCTAGAAAACTAATTTTTTTGCGCTAGAAAGGCCAGGAGAGTGTTGTTCAGGCTGTTCCTGGTACAGCAGCAGCAGTCAGTGCCCTCTGCTTACCCTGCAGCCGCCCAGGGATGGCAACGTGCTCAGTAAAGGTGTGGGTGTGCATGTGCCAGAAGGGGCCACCCAAGCAGTCCTAAATAATTGCATTCCATTATTTGGATTTTTAAATATTTAAAAAACTGAACGTCCCTGAGGTGATATTAAAGAGTGAATGACCAGTTTAAAAAAAAATTAGAAAATTAATATCCCCATCGATGTGCAGTGCAGTAGGTACGGTAGGCTAAGAGGGCTTCAGACACTTTTAGAAGTGTGCTGCCAGTTGCTTTGGTCTCGAGGTGTTGTTTCCAGTCCCTCTCTGGCTGGAGGTGGCAGTGCAGGTGGCTTTGGTGTCGCTCCCAGCCGCTGTAATTTGGATTACAAGCACTAGGGAGCGTCAGGCCGCTTGGCTCCCTGTTTTCCCTCACTCGCTCTCGGCGGGGGGTTGTCTTGCATTTCAGAGCCGGGTTTCAAGCACCGGCTCTCGCAATGGCTTGCTTTTCTTTGTTTGTTTGTTTGTTTTTTGTTTTTGTTTCTTGTGGCTTGTTTGTTTGGGGTTTTTTTACTAAAATTGACTCGAGGCCCAGTTGTGCTTAACTGTGCCCTTCAACAAAAACACATCAATGGGGAAGCCGAGTGTTGAATCGCAGGAAGCAGAGCATGAGATTTTGATATGGTTGTGCAGTGTCTCAAAATCCTTAAGGAGCAAGTGGCCCGTGAGTTTTAGTATACAGAGTCTAATAAGGGGTGATTTCCAGAAGGACTAGCAGTTTGCCATGGGGAACTATGCAGAATAGAGCGTTTTGGCCAATGAAGAAGATTACCTAGAAACAAGCTCTGGAAGTCATATTTTGTTTTCACACAGGTTTCATTGTTTCATTAGTTTGACCCAGAAACAGCAGAGGAATAAACCTGTCGGTACCCAGTCAGCAGTTTGAAGTGGTGCCTGCTGCATTCTCAGTGCTCGTGCAGCAGCAGCAGGGGCGAAGGAGCAGCTGCCCCTTGTTGGGGCTGTGTCTGTGTGCTCAGTGTGCTTTAGCATGCACAGAGCCCCACACCCTGCCTTAGCCATGCAGGCAGAGCAGGACTGCTCCCCTGCCTCAGCCCCAGCCCCCATGGTTATTGTCCTTATGGGAGTCTCAGTGGTCCTTGGGTGTGTGATTTGTTCACTGAGCTCCTGAGTTTTGTCACTTGTTCTTAGCTGACAGGCCGATTTGGCCAAGTAAAACCAGAGCAGAAGTCAACAAAACAAGGGAGGCATCATGCATGGATGTGTGAGCCATTTCTTTGTGCATCCTTTTTTTACAGAGGAGTGTTAAGACGGCCCAGGAGGGTCAGGCCTTTCTGCAGGCATGTGGTGTGCCACTGGGGGAGTGGCTGAACTCAGGCAGCTGACTGCCGTGCCCTGCTCTGATGTGTTTGTGTTGCTCTTGTTTTTAGGTGGGAGTCCTTAGTCTTAGTGCTGATGTATGTCATCTACATCATTATAATGAAGTAAGTCAAACGTGCTCTCGGCTTTTTTAAACTCTAAGGCTCCCTGCTCCCTTTGTATCACCCAGCCCCCACGACAGAGAAAAGAGGAAACAGCCTCCAGTTCTGCCAGACATTGGCTGTTAGGGAAAATTTCTCCACAAAAAGCGTTATCCAGGAACAGGCTGCCCACGCTAGTGTGGAATCACCATCCCTGAAGGGGTTTAAAAGACATGTAGATGTGGTACTAAGGGACATGGCTTAGTGGTGGGCTTGGCAGTGCTGGATTAACATTGGACTTGATGATCTTGGAGGTCTTTTTCAACTAAAACTGTCCTATGAATCTGTGCTTTATGGATCTTGCACTGTGTGAACAGACCAAGGCTAACACCCAAGTCTGTGGCAGAGCAGAGACCTGGATCCATCTTCAAGTCCCACCAAAGCAGGCCTCTTCTGACTTCACTTTAGCATCTCTACTTGGAAATAAACAGGTGTGAGATTGCAGTCTGCTTTTTGTGGGTGTGAAGCTCTGCTGTAGTTCTTGCTTGCTTGGAGACCCATGATAAAACTGCAGCACAGTCAGCAGTGATTTTCTGAGCATGTGACCTGTGTGACTTCTCTCACACAAGTTCCTGCTAGTAAAACCAGTCTGTTCTGCTGTTTGGTTCTCCTCCTCCTGTCTTGTTTTCAAAAGCCAGTGGAAAGGAAACCCAGATTTAAACTGGAACATCGAACAAAACCTACCAGCTGCCAAGCACACCAGTGGTCTTGTCTCAGTAAGTAAGAGTAGAGATTTGTTTTGAAATTATGAGTAGAGTAAATATTGTGAGAAAAATTCTCAGAACAGTGAAACACTGAGGCTGAGCTGACGGGAACATGAGCCAGAATTCATCTCACTTCTAATAATTAGAAACTTTCACATGGTGGGTAGCTTCAGCCTTGCAACAATTAATTGACCAGCAAGACAGCTGTACTGTCTGAATATTGTTTTTTCCCCTGAAAGCAATGCTGTGGTGTGAACAGATGTTTCAGACCTGTTTGGATCTAGCTGGAAAGGTTGCTGCCCTGGTTAGGTACCTTGACCAGCTGTTCACAGGAGTCTACCCTTGCCTTTGAGCACCATGGTGAGACCCTTGGCTCGTGTTTGTGTCAGCTCCTGGGTACTCTAAGAAACAAGGATTATTCCCCTCCCTGCCACAGTAGAGATGAACTGAGCATATGGCCTTGTGTTTCTGTGGGGGGTCATCCCAGGTAAAACAACACATACTCAGGTGTGATTATGTGATAAAAAATAAGCTTGGATGATGACAAGCAATGGTTACTCATGATACAGAATATTAATCACACCTAATACATAAGCATACATGTCATTCAAGATTCATGGCTTCTGTCTTTCATAGCCTTCTGGGTACAGGGAGATTGCATGGTGTACAATTTACTGTGCTCTGGCATACCCCCTAAAACCTGAGGAGTTTTCTTCCCTCCCTTAGTTGGATTGCACAGAATACGAGTCTAGGAAAGGAAAACTCACAAAGTAAAAGTACATCCTGAGTTTGTTTCTTTTGTGCAGGTACAACTCAACCATACATCACTGCTTTGAGAGGAAGACCAAAAACTCTGCAAACATGGTGAACGGCTTAGCCAGCAACACGGAAATGGACGACAACAGCAACTGCGACGCCACCGTGGTGTTACTAAAGAAAGGTAACTGTTCCAGTAAGTCACTCTCTCACTTGCATCATTCTGAGTGTTTACAAGCCTGTCCCTGCTCTCAGGGTGTGAACTGCTGCTGTCTTGTGAGCCATGAAACAGTGGTGGGCAGGTGGGGTGGGGGCACAGTGTGGTGAGCCCAGCCATCACAGCCTGTGCCAGTGGAGGCAGCTCCGGCCTCTTCCAGGTAATTCTTGCTGCTGGACGAGTGCTTGGCTGTAAGGACTCCTTCAAGCACAGGGCCTGATTATTGAGCCCATTATAGCCACTGGGAGTCCTCCTGCAGGTGCTGTTACTCTGCGCTGACATTGCCCATTCACATCATCTCCAGTTAAATTTAACTCCATTCCAAAGGGGCATCAGCTGAGCAGAGGAGGAGGCCCTGCTTAGACCAGTGCACGCTTTTCTCCCAGTGAGGGCTCTGTGTGGGTCTGAGCAGTGTGCTCTTACTGCACGTGCTGTCTTGAATGTGCACAGCTTTGCCATGTGAGTGATCTTTAAGGGTATTTCACTTTGGCTGAGATCTGCTCCTGTTTAACTTCAGTATGATCACGTATAAAAATAATGGTGTTTCTTCAGCTTAAAAAACAATTCCCCACCCCATAGCTCAGCAGCAGCAGTTCAATGTCTGCATTTGCAAGCGTGTGCTAAACTGTATTTGAAGTGGGTTTTTCTTGTCTTTGAAACATTCAACAAGCATGTGCAGTGACTGCTTGGGGTTTATATGCACCTGTCCTCAGGAATAACACCTCCCCTTGCCCTGAGACATGGATTTAGCCTAAGAAGCTGCTCTGTCATGTTGAAATCAGTCTTGGTCTCTGCCTACAGATGGGCTGCCCCTTTTGTTTTGCTAGTCTACAAAAACGTAAATTTAAAAAACCAGGTCTTTTCCTGCAATTGGTGATTGAGAGGCATAGTCTATATGCAGTAGGCAACAAACATGAAATCAAACCCTTTGATCTGGCAGAGGCCTGTTGCAGAGGGAAGGCTGCTAGAAGTGCTGTGCACTCTGATTTGGGGAATCTGCTTTTGTTCTCTGTCACAGCAATCTGTGCTGGCAAGATACTCTGTACCAGGAAAACTCAGTGACTGTAAACTCAGGCTTTGCCCATCCAGCTTTACTCAGTGCCCTCAGGGTTATCTCTGATAGTGGGATTTGGTTTAAATGTCCCTACAATGTGTCTTTGCATGACAGCTGCTCAACTGCTGGTAACTTTTTGGTTTGGACACTTGTGGTTACTCAAACTGGCTGAGGAAGGAAGAGGAAAGCATTGCTTCATCTCCTCGAGGATTGTTCCTGTATTTCCTTGGCAGAGGGCCCCTGGAGGCCTGGACAGACGAGTGGTGCTGCTGTCTGTCCCAGCCAGGGGCACAGGGTCACAAACAGCACCTGCCCAACAGAGTGCCCTGAGGGTTTCAGACACTGTTTGTTTTCTGAGGGCCTTTTCTGAACAAAGAAAAAAAGACCTGAAACAGAAGGATTTCTGTGTTTGGGGCAGTTCCCCCAGGTGCCATTCAACAAATGCCAGTGTGGAAAAACTGACAAAGAAAAGCTGTCTGGCTATTTTGATTATTTTTTCCTTTTTTTTTTTTTTTGATATGGAGGAGCTGAGGAGTTGACTTGACTATTTTGGATTCATCCAACAGTCAGAAAAAAAAGTGACACAAAGGCCAGAGAGATACTGTTCTGTAAGACTAACAGTGATGGTAAAAACCAGTAATGCCACGAAACATTTGCCAGTGTTCAGCACTGATTTTAGTAAACCAGAGCAGAAATATGTCAGGTAAGGCCTGAGGTTTCCCTGCTGCCAAGTTCCAGTCCTGGCACAGAATTGACAGCCTGAGGTGGTTCCAGGCACAGGAGGAATGAACCCCAGAGGCAATAGGCACGAGCACCACGCCCCAGGTGGAGCACAGTTAGGGTACCTGCCCCTCTCTCCTTGTCCCTTTGCTCCCATGCCATGGGCCACCCTGGCACATGCTCTTATTGCTGGGTTTGGTGGCACTTCCCAGCCATGAGCTGCAAGGCCAGGATGCAGAAACCTGCTTTCTGTTTGCACTGGTACCTCGCAGGAACACAGGGATGATTTCTTTGCTGCTGTGTACAGTTAATTAATGGTGGGTGAGGACAATATCCCCACGGAAGTGCAGGATAACTGGAATTAGTGCAGCTTTCCTGAGTTTCTGCCTTGGTGGGATAGCTGCTGTGGAAGCAGTGGGCTGCCTAACCCAGGCCTGTGATGAACTGTGCAGAGCAGATGGAGTTCTCTGTAAGGAGCACGAGTGGCAATACCATACTGGCAGTTTATTTGAAGACAGAAATGTAGGATGTGTAAAAGGCAGACATCAAGGACAGAGGTGGCATATTTTGAGTGGCGGTAGCTGAAGGAATGGTTCTTACGAAGAACTTCTGGAACCCGTGGGTTTATTGTTCTGAGAGCCATATAGGCCAGAGAGAGAGACTGCTGGAAGAAGACCTCAATTTCTTTTTGTTCCCTGGCTGCAGGAAATTTCCACCGTAAAGCCTCGGTGATCATGGTTGATGAGCTGCTCTCTGCCTACCCACACCAGCTTTCCTTTTCCGAGGCTGGGCTCCGGATCATGATAACCAGCCATTTCCCTCCCAAAACCCGGCTCTCCATGGCCAGCCGCATGTTAATCAACGAGGTGTGTCTTCTGTCTCCCTCACCAGCCCTTCTCCTTCTCATTTTGCCTTTTCTTGTTAACAGTGTTTGGGTTGAAATGGAACTCTTGTGTTTCTTCGGGATCCCTGACAGCCCTCTCCCATATTTTATCCTTCTGACATTGACTTTAGTAAATCATCCCTTGCTGTCTGTCCACGTGGAGATTTTAGCAGAGCAGGTTTCAGGTTGTTACGAGTTTATGTTACCTGTAGTGTTCTCACAGGGGGTGCCCCCTGCATTGATCTGATAACATCACTTGCACTTGTTTAATAATATGGCACTCCCCTGAGTCTGCGCTTAGTCTGTCCCTAGTCTTGGAGTGCTCCTGGAGTCAATTCCACAGCCACTGGTTCTTCTCTTGTAAAAGTTGCATATGTGAGATTTATCTAGTGGTCTGCAGGCAAGCATCATGTTTTACCTGATTGAAATTCATCCCTTTTGCCTTTAAAGCCAAATTTTTAAAGAATTCCACACGTCTCTCTTTCTGTGTTCCTCCCTTTCTCTTGAAAAAATCAAATTTAAAAAAATCTATCTTTCAGCAAGACTTTGTGCCTGTGTTTACAGAGGCAGAGGCTGATCAACAGCAGGACTTACACCAACGGTGAGTCTGAAGTGGCAATCAAAATCCCCGTGAAGCACGTGGTTGAGAACGGGACAGGCCCCGGGAACTCCGCGGAGCGGGGCGTGAACGGCGGCCGGCGGGACGAGGACGTGGCCGAGGCCGGGAACGAGACCGAGAACGAGGACAACGAGAACAACGAGAACGACGAGGAGGAGGAAGAGGATGATGACGACGATGACCACGAAGGGCCGTACACACCTTTCGACCTCCCCAGTAAGCAGCTGCTGGGTTTGTGTGGTGTTTGTCTGGGTGCTGCCAGGAAGCGTTGCGGACGCACGTGGAGGTACGCGTGTCTCTGGGAGCTCCCATCAGCCTGCACTTTGCAGGGAGGGGCCTGGTCACAGGTAACAGAGAAGAGGAACTGGGAAGCAGCAGGAACCTCTCAGGGTGCAGGCTCCTGGGGCTGGGCACACCTCTGCTGCAGCTCCTGTGTTGGCCCTGTGCTGCTGTTGCAGTCAGAGAGGAGACAGAGCAGTCTCCACAGGGTGGTTCCTGCCCCCAAAACATGACTCACCCTCTGGAGAAGTGGATCTCTGCTGACTGTGGAGGAAGCTGAGGATGGTGGGGCCGCTGTCGAGGTGCCTGAGTGCAGGTCAGATGTGTCTGTGGCTAGGGCCTACCTTTGCTGGGAAGGGAGGTGGGCTCTTCCCTCGGTGGGACAGTGTAGTGCCAGCCCCTTTGCTTCCTCCCAGGGAGGGAGCACATGTGCTCTGACCCACTGCTTAAACTCTCAGGCAGTCACTTCACACTCCTGTGCGTCTCCATCTGCCATCACACCGTGGTCCTCTGAACGAGAGATGGCTTGTTATTGTCTGTTTGGTTAGCAGTTGGGCTGAGAGGTCCCTGCCATCTTCCTTGGACATATTAACAAAATAATAACATCTGGGAATACAGCAGACTAGAATTGTGATTGTTTCCCATTATTGTTGTTTTACAGGTGGAAAGATAGAAATATTGAAGTGGGTCTTCACATGGCCTTTGAGTTTTGTCCTGTACTTCACTGTGCCCAACTGTAACAAACCCCACTTGGAAAAATGGTTCATGGTTACCTTTGCTTCTTCTACCCTCTGGATTGCAGCTTTTTCTTACATGATGGTGTGGATGGTACGTACCAACTACACCAGGAACCACTGTCTGGGAGAAGAAACAGTAATGGGTTTTGTCAGCCTAGAGGAGTGTGCGAGAAGTTCTACACACCTCAGTTTTCAGATGAGAAACCTTATGTCTGCTTCCATTTTTGCTGGACCTGTCCCCACTCAGAGGAGAAAACAGAGTCACCTGTCCCCACTCAGAGGAGAAAACAGAGTCACGTGGTTCACATTGCTTGGAGTCTGGTGTAGGGAGCTGAAAAGAGTGATTAAACCTGGAAATTAGGAGATGGGTGTCATTAGACAGAGGCACCCAAAATTTAAAAATATTAATCAATTTGAAGAATGCTAATTTAACATAGACTGCATAGCAGAGGGAAGAGGAAATTAAAGGTATCTTCTCTCTGCTAACAGGATTTGTTTGCAGTCACTGCATATAGCATTTTCATAGTAGAATGAACCACAGGGCAGTTTCAGTGTCCACTTACGTAGTGTTTGTAAATAATAATGTCTGCAAACTTCATCCAAGATCAGCAGATGGTTACACAGGGTAGTGGGCCACCATGTAGTCTCTTTTCCAGGTTAGTTTCAGGAAAATTGTGGGTGAAATATATGAAGCAACTAACCAAAGAGGGTACCTAGCAGGTGAGTGCTATCCTCTGCCAGTTGATGAATATACCAAAAAACCCTGTCACTGCTTCTCTTTAAAGGAGCTGTGAGTTTGTACTGAGAGATACACTCTTGTCTCACAGCGTATTGCAGATTTGGGCCAAGCTGGTCTTGGATGTCAGTTCTTGTAAACAGCTTGACAGTTTATTTCCTCTCCTTAGGTGACAATCATTGGGTACACCCTGGGCATTCCAGATGTGATCATGGGCATTACGTTCCTGGCAGCTGGAACCAGTGTGCCAGACTGCATGGCAAGCCTTATTGTGGCACGGCAAGGTAGGTTCCTCACAGGGATGTCATACTGCTGGGGAAGTGTTTCCTTGTGTTCTCTTTCTCTTTGGGTAGCACAGGTGGCTCCTGCATGTGAAAACATACAGAGCCCTTTTCCTGAGCCTGAAGTTTAAAACAAGAACAAAGAAGGATATAAATTGTGTTGCTGTTTTAAAGCAGCTAGCAGGTTCTTAATGGCAGTGTGGAACAAGTTTAAAAGGTTAAAAGCTGCAAGGCTGTTCTGAGACATGTCTGACTGTACCTGGTTTCCACTCCTGCAGGAATGGGGGATATGGCTGTGTCCAACTCCATCGGAAGCAACGTTTTCGATATTTTAATTGGCCTGGGCCTTCCATGGGCTTTGCAGACCCTGGCAGTGAATTATGGATCATATGTAAGTCCTACATTTGTTCACGTTGTTCTCACTTCATTTACTTTCAGTAAACTGTGTCTATTTAGGAAAAAGAAAATTAACGTCCAAAATTCTGTGGATTGGATTTGAAAAAAACAAATAGTTTTGGTCTGTTACGATTTGGGAGAAGCAACAATTAATTGTGACTGAACAATCTCCATCCTTTGGAGGACAAGTACTTCCATTTCCTCCTTAAAGACAGAAGTCTGTGCTGAAATAAGCTAGCTCACCAGAGTACACTGGATGATTTTCACACTCTTGAATATATTCCATATAAGAAGAATGACCCTGTTTTTAATAAGCCAAAGGGGATAAACACGCAGGTGAAATGTAAAGGATAGATGAGAGCTGTAAGGCTCTCTGGTGTTATGTTAACATACTGGAAAGTGAAGGAAACTTAAATAATTGGATGTTTCAGAGCATGACCATCAGCAGAAAACTCTGCAGAGCTTTCCTGTTTAAGCAAAAAACTACCCAACACTAATGAACTCACCCTTCACTTCCCAAATGATAGAAGAGCCACCCCCTGGCCCCAGCGTTGTTACAAGGTTCCTTCTGAGAAGGAAGAGGAGGAGATGTTACAAAGTTCTAGATGGAGGTTGCTGTGGCTGTTGTTGTTAGCTGAACGCCACTCAGACAGCAGTGTGGGACAGAGGAAAGATTACAGTCACTGAGTGAGTGCAAAGTTAAAAGACAGGAGAATCCTGGACTTGCTGAGATTGGCAGGTACCTCTGGAGATGGTCTGGTCCCCAACCCTCTGCTCAAGGCCGGGTCAGCTAGAGCAGAATGCTTAGGACCATGTCCAGTTGGCTCCTGAGTTACCTCCAAGGATGGAGTGTGCACAGCCACAGCCTCTCTCAGCAGCCTGCTCTGTTGTTTGACCAGTCTCACAGTGAAAAGGTATTGCTATATTTAAATGGAATTTCTGTATTTCAAATTGTGTGTGTTGCCTCTTGTCCTTTCAGTGGATATCACTCAGAAGAGTCTGGCTGCACCTCCTCTGTCCTCTCCCATTAGGTATTAATACACATCAGTAAGGTCCCCCTGAGTCTTCTCTTCTCCTGGGTGAACAGTGCCAGCTCTCTGCCCCATCATCCAGCTCATTAAATAAAGGCAGTAAGCAGCATTGACCCCCGGGGTAAGGCCCCAGTGACTGACCTCCAGCTGGGCTTGGAGCACAGTGGTTCGACTGCTTGTCAGTCTGCTCCACTGTCTGCTGTTCTGGGCTGTTCTTCCTTTGTTTGTCTCTGAGGTTGTTGGAGAGACAGTGTCAAAAGCCTTCCAAAACCAACATAGACAATGTTTGTTGCTCTCCCCTCACCCAGCAAGTCCCCCTCGTCGCAGGAGGTATCAGGCTGGGCAAGCAGGATTTCCCCTCCATCAGTTTGTCTGCTCACAATCACTTTCTTGTCCTTCATATATTTAGAAGTGGTTCCCAGGATTATGTGCTCCATCATCTTCCCAGAGCTCAAGGTCAGGCTGACCAGCCTTTAGCTCCTCAGATCTTCCCTCTTCTTGAGTACAGGAGTGCCAAAATTAAGCAATCTTTAGGAATAAAATCCCTATCTTTATCCGCAACTCATGTGTATTTTTGCAGAAAAGGATGAAAACGAGTGGCTGAACAGATGCAGCCAGCTTTCATGGAGGCATAACAATATCACTACTGTGTTGCACACCCAAAATGTCCATTGTACAGTGTGATCACTGTGGTTGGAAAAGGCAGTCTTGGAAACAGCCCCACAATTAGCAAAGAGAGTTTCCTCAGTTTTCCCTTGCAGGTCCTGGATTTCTCTCCAAATCCTCGGGTAACTGGACTTCAAAACAAAACAAGCCCCCTCTTTCACCCTCTTGTTATTGGTAATTAGTTATTGAAGTATTACTAAGTTGCCAAGAAAGGCTGGCGTTAGCTGGGTCAGTGTTAAGAGCTCCAAGATGCTGGTTGTTATTTGGGAACGTTCCCAAGTGCCTGGCACCCAGGTCAGCAGGGGCATCAGACACGGAGCTCCAGGTCCCTGAGGTCCCTCGTGCCAAGCCTTGGACTGCTGGTGTGAGCAGGGCCTGCTGACTGGGGTGGGGTTCATGAGCTGAGGCCAGCCTGGTTGTCCACTAAATGTCACTGAGTCAGAAGCACTAGGTAGTTTCTGAGCTAATAGTCAGGATTTAGTGCTGCTCCTTTGGTATTTGGCAGGACCCAAATGTGTCTTTGTGGTATCTCCTCCAAAAGAGGAACTCCTAAAAGCAGTGGTGATGCCCTTGACTTGCTTACAGAGGGGAGGAGAGAGTTGAAGACCAAAAGGGCTTCCTTGACTATAATTACTTTTGTGTAGTGATCCAAAACCATGGTTGCCTCCCTAGAATGTTTAATGTAAGTGGACTGTGGCAAAGTTAAGCTTCTGCTGAAAGTAGAGAGCAAACACATTTTAGTAAACAAGCTGTAATAACTTTTGTGGAAGCCAAAACCAGGAGACTGTGTGATTTGGAAGTTAAACTTCAAAGCAGAAGAACCTTCTAGAAGCCCCCTCCAGCCTTGTTTTTCTGGGATTCTACACACTCATGGCTTTTTCCAGAGTGTGGTATGTATCTCTAATATGATACTCTGTAAAATCCGTACATACATATCATGTTCCAGGCTGCCTGACTCCGAATCCCCTGTGGACAGTTTTGCTCCCTGTTCATGCTGGTGTAAGGAGTTCAGGCAGGTTACCATGCAGAAATGGAGAGGAGGGTGTGCTCTTTGTTCCCGTGGTTGTGCTGCACCTGGGTGGAGCAGCTTGGGGACTGCCATTAGGTGCTTTCTGAACGTTCTCAGCCATCCTGGGAAGTGGCCTCAGGTGGAATCAGGCCTTGCTGTTTAAATAAGCTCACTCTATGGAATAGTGTCTGAGGGGGAAAGATCTTGTGATCTAATAGATGAGTCCAGAAAAGAGCAAGAGGGAGGCTGTCAGGGAGACTAATGGGCTTGCTGGAGTCACACAGCAGGTGAATGGCAGAACTGGAAGTAAACTGTGAATCTCTGGAGAGAGGTGTCCTGGTGCTGAATTGCTAGATCTCATTGTGATTAAGTGCCTCTCTTCTGACAGCCCCTTCCCCAGGCCCGTTGTCAGCAGGTGTTTCAGCTCAATATTTATTTTATTCTTCCTTCCTTGTTACAAGAAAGGAATGGAAAACCATCTTTTGCTTCTCAGGCTGCGTCTTGGAAGCATCTGTCACCTGGTTTAGAGAAGGAGGTTTTCCTTCTTCTGTTTTTCTGCTTAAAAGGAAACATTTCCATGTAGGATGTCGGTGCCCTGCAATCAGAGACAGCCTGCCCAGGGAGTTGCACCCCCATGCTGTGCTGTAGGAAGCTGGCACAGCGGGCAGAGCTGTGCAGAGCCAGGGCACTGGTCTCTGGTACCGCTCACCGTGCCTCGCCTGCGTGTGTCTGTTACACCAGCCAGGCCTGTCTCAGTGTGGTCATCACTGGGCAGCACTGGATTTTTGTTCTCTTCCTTCCAGTGCTGGCTGGAGCTGGTCCAAACCCAAGCCAGAGAATGCTCCGTCTCATGCTTCTCCAAGAAAAAGTGTCGGTGGCAAGAAGAAAAGGTCCTGCTTTGCCTTCACCCTTTGCCTTCAGCTCAGTTGTCAGTTCCACAGTTCCTGGCTTGGTCCTGGCCACCGACACTTTCCCCATTGAAAGGCAGATCTAGCCAACATCAAACTTTCCACATCAGATCCCTTCTATTCCTACAATGTCTAGTCTCTAACCCAACTATATGGTTACTATTTTAAGAGAGTCCCTGCTGTTTCTGAACACCCATTAATGTCCAGGTACTAACTCTGCCTTCCTCTGTGCTTCCCACTGGAGCTTCCATGTCCACTGCTTAGAGGTCATTTGGCCACCCTCCTGCAGATGCTCTGGCCTTCTGTTATCAACACAGCTAATCTGGGATGCCAGCAGGGCTTGGGAGGAAAAGCAGCATCCCTCTGGCCCTAGAGAGTCCTCTGACAGAGCTCGCTTTCTCCTCTTCCAGCATTGAATCCTGGACACATTGCTGACTCTGTAACCCAGTAAGCATCCCTCCCTAGTGGACCTGGCATATGCAGAGTGCAAGGATGTTTGCATCCAATTGCTTCCCTCTGGAATATTTTTTTGCATATAAACCAGACATCAGCCAGGAGTATTTTAGAGAACAGGAATTTTAGCCTAAGGATAAAGAGCCAGGTTCATTTGTTCACATCAGCATTTGGGAGTATGATCATGTCAGTCCATCGCTCCTCTGCCTGATAATTCAGCCAGTGTCAGCAAAATTTGACAGCAGATTAGAAGTCTTAGAGACATGACATTCCTTCCATGCAAACAGGCAGCTAGAGAGAGCAGGAATAATCCCAGTGCAAGCCTTATTAGGCATCCAAGAATCCAGAGGGAAGCAAATACTTGAAAAACACATGGAGATGGGAAGCATCATTGCTTTGCTCCTCGCTGACCAGTTGCTTTTCACTGCTTTAATTCCAAGGCACTAGGGTGAATGGTACTTTAGGACAAAGCTGGCCTTAATCTCCTCACAGCCAACATCTGTGTGTCTGTTCCCTGCCCCACTCTGGCCCAGGTACCTGCATACAGTCCACCTTAAATCTGAGGGAAGAGAGGGAATAGGATCCACGGATGTGTCAGTCATGGGGCAAACATTAGGGTCCAGAATAGCAACCAGGTGGTGACTCTGAGTGTCTGTGGGGGTCCCTGCTTCCCACTGCATCCCTCTTCTCTTCTGGAGCTGTTACTGCTCCTCCTGCTTTGAGCTGCCAGACTCTTTCCATCTGCCACAGTAGCACCTGCAGTGTGATGTGCTGGCATCACTGCAGCAACAGTATGCAGCTTGGCAGGTATTAATGGATTCACTTATTGTCAGATTCCCAAAAACCTGTGGATGGACATAGCAGGTGCATGCTGAAGCCACTGTCTAGTCCCTCCAGCCTCCTGGAGTAGTTTGCATGTAGTGAGTGT